ATTTTATATAGAAAGAAACTAAACTTTAGAGACCTAACTAAGACCCCAGTGTAACAACTGCATGGCACCGAATGCCTTAACAAACTGTGTGATGCAGTCCAGGGGTGGTTATAAAGGAGCCGGCCTTCGCATGCCCTTTGTGTTAATTAGGGTTCTCCTCCTGTGACCAAGGCAACCCCTACAAAGGAAAACTTTAGTTTGGGCTGGCTTACAGTGTCAGAGGGTTAATTCATTATCATCATGGTGGGGATCGTGGCAGCATGCAGGCAGATGTGGTGCTGGAGCAAATCCACGGGCAGCAGGAAGAGACCATGAGCCACCAGGCCTGGCTTGAGCTTCTGAAAGCCCAAAGCCCACCCCCCAGTGACACATCCTCCAATCTCGTCAAAAGTTACTGTATCCCTGGTTTATCCAGGTTTTCTCCCCACTCCAATGCCTTCACACAATGCCATCTTTCACACAGCCATGGACTTTCAAACTCCGGTGGTTTACTCAAGCATGGTGGTGTATACCTACAGACCCTGCACTCACAGGAACCAGACCAGGATCGTGAGTCTGAGGTCAGCTCAGTCTACATAGCAAGATCTGTCTCTCAATGAACGAATAAATGAATGAAGAAGGAATGAATGAATATTCATACTCTCATATGAGCTTTCCTTTGCTTCAGAGGCCTGGGAACTCCTGAAGAGAAAGGCTCGTGCACCACCACCCACCTGACACTGTCTACACTTCCTTGCCAGCTTTTCTGTCTGTCTGTCTGTCTGTCTGTCCGCCCGTTTGTCTGTCTGTCTTTTCTTTATCCCATTGCCACCCTAGTCAGGTCCAAGTCTCTTGACACCATGCCTTCCTGGCAAGACAATTAGGTCCACGTATCTATGAACTGTTTCAAATTCTCCATGTAAATGTGTGGAAGTATCTTACTATACACAGATGATGCTAAAATCTGGCATAGAGTTCTAGGTGCGTTATACTGAGTTCTACTTCAAGACCCGAGTATACCAGGCTGACTTATTGTATTCCAGGGGCACAGTTCACAGACCTGTCTCACTCAAGTGGCCAGAAACTCATCCGAGGGCGAAGGTTCCTGATCCTGATCCTATATTCATTCAAATACATTTAATGAACTTGGTTACTCTAGATAAGGTAGATGCCAGCTGTCCAGTCTCAGCATTGAACCTCAAAGACCCTTCAAATATGCTCCCAGTGGAGTGCACAAAAATTCTCCATCCAGGAGCCTTAATGTCCACACAGTGTCTAGCCATAATTTAAAAGATCAAGTGTCCCAAGGGAAGAAAACTAAAAATTAAAAATTAAAAAAAAACGAAAAAAGAAACAAAAAACAAAAACAAACAAGATTTCTCTGTGTAGTCCTGGCTGTCCTGGAACTTTCTCTGTAGACCAAACTGGCCTCAACCTATCTCTGTCTCCTGAGCACTGGGATTAAAGGTATGCACTACCATACCCAGTTTAAGTCATAGATTTTAATATTGGAATTAACAACACAAGAATTCTCCATACATTATAATCCAGGGAGAAATTTAACATGAGTGAAAGGGGAAGGAAAGGGAGGGGGGAATAGAGAGAGAAAGGGAGGAGGGAAGGGTAAAGGGCATAGAGGGAGGAAGGAACATCCTGAACACAAGCCAGCTCCAGAGCCTGTCACAGATACGCTCAACCACATCCATTCACGCACTACATCAACTTGCTGAGACACTGAACCATTCATTAACTGGCAAAAGACGTCTTCAACCAACTTCCCCTAGAAAGCCCTTTCCTCTTCTGCATTTCTATTCTTCTATGTGTCTTCTCTGTAAATACCTCAGATACTGCTTGGCACACGTGCCTAAGGGCTGGGACGTGGTGATCGGCACAACAGAGTTAGCTGCCAGTTCCATGGAGGTTTCGTAGAGTTCCCGTATCCACTTATACAGCAGTGAGTATTCCTCTTTTCCCACGTGCTAGCCAGCCCCTAACGTTACTAGCCTTTGGAATGTTGACGTTTATTAGAGGTCAAATAGTGAGTAATTCCTTAACTTCTGGTTAGTAACGAGATGTAAAAGAATTGTCGCATCTAGGTTTCCCTTTCATGAATTATTGTTGGGCCGTTTTTCTCATCGATTTGTAAGTACCTGTTGCACATTCTGGATGTCACAGTTCTGGTTTCCAGAATCAATCACTGACACAGGGACTCATGCAGCATAAGTAGGAAAGGATTTCTCAAGGAGGAAGATGGTGGGTTTAGCTATGGGCTATCTCCTCAAAGCTCCCGTGCTGAAGGCTTGTTCTCTGGCTGTAGGTATTGTTGCTAAGTGTTGAGATACTGATAACACTAATTTCATGGATCTACTAGGAGTTCAGAGTTTTCTGAACTGTTAGGCAGTGACCTAGACGGACAGTGATTAGGAGGATGTCTTGGGAGGGTAGATCTTGTCCCTGAACCCTTCCTTTCTGTTTCCTGGCCATCAGAAGATAAACAACATTCCCCGACTATGTCTTTTGCCCACGCTTCAGCCTGTCAATAGAACCTGCCAAACCATGGAAATAAAACTGTTGTAGAATATTATTTTAAGATGTGTTACATTTGTGTACACTGTGGAACATTTGTTTTAATGATGCAAAGATGTGTTGCATTCTTTTATGCTACATTTGTTTAATTCTGTGAAGCTGTGTTATTTGCCTGTCTAAGACACCTGGTTGTTCTAATAAAGAGCTGAACAGCCAATAGCAAGAGAGGAGAAAGGATAAGTGGGGCTGGCAGGCAGAGAATAAATAGGGGGAGAAATCTAGAAAGAGAGAGGAAGGAACAAGACAGAACAAAAAGGAGGACATCAGAGACCAGCTGCCCAGTTACACAGCAAGCCATGGAGAAAGAAGTAAAGAAAGGTACAGAATCAGAGAAAGATAAAAGATAGACAGAGGCAAAAGATAGACAGGATAATTTAAGATAAGAGAAGCTGCTAGAAACAAGCCATGCTAAGGCCAGCTATTTGTAAGAAAGAAAAAGGCTCCATGTATGATTTATTTGGGAGCTGGGTGGCAGGTCTCTGTAAAAGAGTAAAACAAACCACAATATAGAAATTCCTGAGTCAAACTAATTTTTCCCACTTCTCTCCTCTAAACATATCTCTGTCACTTTGTCACAGCAAGAAACGCTAATACAGCGGGTAAGGAAGATGGGTAAGACAGTAGGAAAAGCAGGGAAGGAAATTGTGTGGTTTGAGGCTGTGTCCCCATAGTCTAGGGTGCGGTTTGGAGTGTGGCCTTGAGAACAAGATGTGATTCAAGACGTGGGCCCTCAGCTTCCTGCTCCTGCCAGCATGCCTACTTCCATGCCTTCCTGCTAAGATAGACAGACTCATGCTTCTTGAACAGTAAACCCAAATGGAAAAACAGTAAACTTCTCTAAGTTGCATTTGGTCATACTGTTTTAATTCAGCAATAGAAAGTAACTATTACAGGAAGAAACAAAGCCAGGGCATGCTCTCAGGCAGAAGTCCAAAGGAGGGCTCTGCTGGATCCACAGTGAACTCTGCATACGAGTCACACATCCTATTAGTGGCTAAAGACATTTCTAGCTCTCTGCTTGTGAGGGGTCAAATGAACTTGTGGGAGAGGCTAAGACAGGATTTAGGTGAGCTGAGAAACTGACATCATGCAGTAAAGAAACAGAATGTATCCTGTTGTCAGTAGTAACACTAACACAAGAAACACACTGCATATGGGTAAAATACTTTGCATCTATCATATCTGCAAAGATTTAAGAGGTACACAGTGCCAAATTCTAGACTAGCTATGGTGACAAGGGTTTTTGGTTTGTTCGTTTTTACAAGACAGAGTTTCTTTGTGTATCGGTTCTGACTGTTCTGAAATTCAATTTGTAAGCCAGGCTGGCCTTGAACTCACAGAGATCTACCTGCCTCTGCCTCCTGAGTGGTGGGATTCAAGGTGTGAGCCACTACCTCCCCGCAATGACAAGGGTTTTTGCATACATGTTGTAGGGTGTTGTAGGCTGGCAGCCATTTTTAAGAAAAACAGTAGAATCTATCAAACATAAAGGCACATACATTTTGAAGAAGGATTCCGTCTCGGGAGCTTTCTCCTGGCCACAAGCTGGCCGTTCACTGCAGCATAGAATACAATGAGGGACACCCCTACGAAATACATTATTTACAGTTTAAAATACCAAAGCACGGCAGGAAGAGAGGCTCCCAGACACTGGCTGTGTACTGCATGACCCTGTGTGAATTAACTGCTTCACACAGTGACACCGTCATCTGCAGCCATGTGAGAAAAGTGGCATCGCTGGAAAGAGACTTAGAAAAAAGTGGCATCGCTGGAAAGAGACTTAGAGATGGCACTGGACAATCTGCTTCAGTGCTCTGCAAGTGGTCAGTGTGTAGCGCATGCTCAATATGCATTAGCAATGCCATGCTAATGCTAAGCAAAAAAAAAAAAAAAAAGGAACTGTTTTTGTTTTTTAAAAAAAGGCCTTATAACCTTAAAAGTGAGTAAGAGGGCTGGAGGGTACAGCTTGGTGGTAGAGCATCTACCTAACACGTGCAAGACTCTGACTTCATCCTCAGCACAGCACAGAAAACACGTGACGAAGAAACATAGCTGTAAAGCTCTGTTTAAAACTGGCACATAAGACCAGTTCTGGGGCGGTGGCAAGTTAGCTGGGTTAGCCCCCAATACAGCGAGCAGGTAAAGCGAGAGCCCAGATTCGGAACTAATGACAGCACGTCGCAGTGTGTTTACTTAGAGCAGCGGGAAAAGGCACACCCTGTTGTTAAAAACATAATTCTGCTGAGGGTATTGGAAGGCTGGTGAGGGTTTGGCTGTTGTTTGTTTGTTAAATACACACCTTTAAAAGAATTTTTGCCTACAGAATCTGTCTTCCTGCCTCTCTCACTGATTGCCAGGGGTTATAGAAGCCTCTCTACTTCTACCCAAAGCCCCCAGCAAACAACCACACCACATGACAGAGACAAAGGCCCAAGTGGAAGTTCAATTGTATTTATTTTTTTATACAGAATTGAGAATTAAAACCTGTAACAAACTCCAGATAAAATGGCTTGATTTGATGGATTTGGCTGCATGTTTCCTGTATGCAGAACACACTGGATTAGAAATCAACAACACAGGTCTCATTTGATAAAATGTAGAAGTAAAAAAAAAAAATTAAGTTAAAGTATTAGCACGTGTATAATACAGTGTCAGGGAAATGGTCTCTGTCAATCACCCTTTTCCCATTAAATTAATCTATAGCTTTCCTTTTTTTTCTTTTTTTTTATGGCTTGTTTTTTTTTTCCCCCAAAAGTTGTCCTTTCAGAAGTTGTTTCTAATTGCATTATAAGAACACAGCACTCAGTGACCCCGTCGGCCACTTCAGGCCACCTCCTGCACATTCCTTTCTGCTGAGCAGTGCCCAGGGGGCTAAAGCTGGTTCTGTTTTATGTGCTTCTCACACATGGGGAAATCACTGAAAGAAATACATCTTACATCCTAGAGACTACAGTGAAACACTGCCTAAAAAAGAAACCCCCAATGCTAACAAAATGGCAGGATGCTTTCACCATCGAAATCCTTCAAGAAAGTGTATCTTATCGGGAAAAGCTGCTTCTTCTTAAATCCAACTTTTAAAGTTGCCTATTCTATGACAAAATTTGGAGATGATATGGTAAAAATGTATTGATTTAGGACGAAGAAAGACTAGCTAGTCTGACAAGTTGTCTTATATTATGAGATAGTATATGAATAGCACCTTATTATGAATTCTTGGGGACTATTAATACTTACAGTAATCCTAAAGAACCTCTAAGAGATTGTTCTTAGGGCTGGGGATGGAGCTCAGTGGCAAAGCACTTGCCTAACACATGAAGTCTTGAGTTCAATCAGAACTCGAAAAAAAAAAAGGTCTGACTTCTGATTTCTAGGTTTAGCTCTCTTTAAAAAGCCATATTTTATAGTCTTAAAAACAACAGAAATTATATCTGGCTTATCTATTAGTAAACAGTCAGGGGCCATATTTTATTCTAGAAAAATATTATATTCATTAAAAAGGTTTAAACTAATTTACTAAAAAATTATTCTAATATTTCATAATGCCACAAGCGTATTATAAAATTGCTTCTAAAACTTGGCAACATAAACCATCAATGATTTAACTATTTAAAAAAAAAGAGTATCTTTTTTTTACATTTAATAGCCTGAAATGCATGTATAAAAATATTTTTAAATACAGTAACACTGTCGAGTTTTGTTAGGTCCCTTGTGTTTTGGTTTGTTTTTGATTTTCCTCAGAAAGAATGTACAACTCTTTTTGCAATTTTTGCTAACAAAAGAGATAAAGAAAGAGTGCTCCCTTTCAACCTAGTAGCAACATAAATACCAACTCGCCTCTCTCAGAGTGCTCAGTGAGAGCAAGGAGTTAACTGGGCGTTAACAGGGGCTCTTCCAAGGAAAGAGAAAGCATTTCAGAGTGCTGGGTGCAACAGTGGCCCATGCTCTTGCCTGCTGCTGTGTCTAGCAAGCACACAGACAGAGCTCCAGAGTACCACAGCCCTGTCCCTTCCTCCTCTCCGCCCCTCCCGCCAGTAAAGTGCGCCCTAACCCTATCTCTCTGACAGCAGGGTCTTTTGGTACAAAGGCTGAGAGAAAATTGCTTTGTTCTTCGAGGGCACTTCTCACCCGTCTTGCTTGCCTTGCTTTTGAGGGGTTCTGATGAGTCTGGCTCATTTCCCATCGACTGGCCTTTCTGGCATATTCCACAGCTTCGTCTCTGACCTTTCACTTGCCTCTTCCCACCACGACCAAGTGTACTCTGTGTACCTATATTCCAATGGACCAAAGGGATCTCATTCAAGATCCTCAACAACAAAGCCCTCACCCTCATGGACACTGAAAGTTTCCTCTCGGATTCTTGTTGTCTTTCAAAAAAATAAAAAAGGAGATTAAATTCATACACTATAAATAATGTCAGTTCAAAATAATAAAGAGCTAAGGACTTCATTGCTAGTGCGGGCAGACCGCCTGCTAAATGAACATGATGCTCTCAGTCCTTAAGAGCTAATAAAAAAAAAAAAAAAGTTGGTTACATAAGAGGTATTGAGTACATATCTTATGCCTTTTTGTACCAACTTAGCAAAGGGGTTAGCTAGGATAACATACTTAGGAATCAATTTTACTCCGCCCAGAAGCACAAATCTAGACGACATGTCCTGTCAAGGCCTTTCTGTGTACACAGTCAGACATCTGTTTCATTCTTCAAACACTTCTACAGAGAGGATCATTTTAAGCGCTTGAAACCTCGAAAGCAGAATTGACAGTGCCTCAGAGTGCAAAATGCAACAGCTACTTTGTGTGTCGTCAGGCTGAGATCTATGCTGGCCTGATGTTTTCAGAATAGGTCAAAAGACAAAAATAGTTGCCACTGATTCATCAAAAAACATTCGGCGGCCCTTTGTCATAAGCCACAAAATGACAGTGTTTCATAACACAAACATCAAATTCCAAGCTGCATTTTGCAAAGAATACAGGTTGCAATTAAAAAAAAAATAGTTTGGCTTCATAACTGTTCATCTTAGTACCAAACTGGTCTCTTTCACACGACCGGTCATGCAAGACCTGTGACAAATATCGCAGTGGCCCTTCTGCACGTAAGGCCGAGCCGCTGGGTGCTCTGCAGTCAAATGACAAAGGGTGGTGACATTAGGACTCTGTGCCTTTGTAAATACAGAATGAGAGTAGACATCAGAGCCAGCATGGATTCCAAACTGCGTCGTGTTCCACACAACAGAAATTTACTATCTATACAATGATTTTTTTTTTAAGATCAAGTTAAATAAGTTTTAAAGCATTTGTTACTAGAGTTATCAGTACAGTTTTTGAAACTGCAAATTGGGTCTTCTTGCACGTTTCTTGGACCAAGCTGCCAGTCAGAATTCACTGCCTGGGGTCAGCTTTTATGGCTTAGAATCAATTGACATGTGAATTTTAGCTAATACCTATAAAGCTAAGCCAAAGGGTAACAGGGATTTTTAAGAAGTTATTCTGTATAATCAATTCTGCACTATCTGTCACGGAAATGCAGGCTGGCAGAAAATAAAGAGAATGTTTATTTATGTGTAACTTAAGTTCTTGTAAGTCAAACCCAGGCAATGATTAGCTGGCTGCATGGACCAGGAGTGTGAGTATGGAGGCCGAGAGCAGTGCATCTGTGGACCTGCTTCACTCCCTCTCGCTTGTTCCACGAGGCCCAGGAAAGGTCAGGTCACAGCGGCAACACATTACCATGGGAGCAATCACAGCCAGGTTAGAAAGGGCTCGCTTTTGTTCAGAGCAGACTCTACATCATTGAAGAGGGGGATCAGATCTTCAGACTCCAAAGTCCCTAGGTCAACGTTGGTTCCTGGAAGGCAGTCAAGGAAATCAGGGAAGCGAGTCTGCTGGGGATTGACGGCCATGGGCGTCTGACCTGCATTTTCTCCTGTAATAGAAGGAAGGACAGTTGTTACTCCCTTCTCAAAATTTTAAAATTTTGTTTGTTTCTTTGTTGTTATCTTTGAGACAGGATCTCACTATGTAGCTCTGGCTTTCCTGGAACTCACTATGTAGAGACCATGCTGGTCTCATACTCACAGAAATCCACCTGCCTCTGCCTCCTGAGTACTGGGATTAAAGGTGTGTGCCACTATGCCCGGCTACATTTTATTTTATATGGGTATTTTGCCTGCATGTTTTGTCTATGCAACACATGTGTGCCTGAGAAGACCAGGAGAGAGTATAAGTGTATCCACAGGACTAGAGAAACAGACAGTGATGCGCCATCATGTAGGCAGTGAGACTCGAGCCGATGTCCTCTAGAGGAGCAGCCAGGGCTCTTAAGCATGGAGCCATCTCTCCAGCCTTTTCTTATAAGTTCTTGAGAAGGGGGCAGAATAGTTCAAGTGCTAACATAACCCACATTTTCATGCCCACGGACACCACATTAGCGACCTCAACCTGTTTTGGAAGACTGTTTACTCCAGTAAGGCTAGAGTTCTGCAGGACATGGTGGAGGAAAATGCTAGAAAGGTAAGCATCTGGGAATCTGACTGAGAATATTTGCTTTACATAACAGTATTATGAGAGGAACTACATGGAGACCTGATATCATTCGACGGGTCTTTTACTATATGACCGTAGGCACGCTTAATTTGTCTCATTCCCATTTGATCTCCTGGGTCTCCTGCATACGTTGGGAAGAAGCAACAAAGGTGCCATATTTAAGGCCGTGCCATCTGTCTACTAAAGTTATCATTACAGAAGCTGAAGGGATGGCTCAGTGGTCGGTCAGCAGAGGTACTGAGCTCAAACACCCGCATTGTGGCCCACAAACCCCTGGAACTGCAACCTCAAAAAGTCCAATGTCCTCTGGCCTCAAGACGCCTGCTCACATGGTACACGTAAACTCACGCGGGCACACACATGCACAAAAATTTAAAAGTTCAAAATATCATTACGATCTTCTAATTCTTGAAAACACATATTTTAGTCAAACAAAATCTCTTTTTTTTAAAAAAAAAAATTCTTCAAATTCTTTTTCACCAGAAATGAAAGCATGAGTTGACAGTCATGCTTCTTCATCAAGGTTAACAATCTCACAGCATTTCTTATGGCAGTAGCTCTACAATGTCCTTGTGGTTTTTTTAGTCCTTGTCATTTTAGCTACTGAAGTTCACCACTTAAGCTACTTAGGATAAAAGGGGGAGGGGCGTCAATTCTTCCAGGGGTGTGGTTTTCATGGAACATTCTGGAAGGAGAAATGACTGTGTAGCCTTTATTTACCATGTTAATATCCCTTGGTTCCATCTTCACACAAGTCCAGCTGTGTGTGCTCATTGCAAAGGGGGAGGGTTCTCAGTCAGCTTGCTCCTGGCAAGTGGTCAATGTGACTGGCAGACTGAACAATCTTTTCTAGCCACCTGCAAGCTCTGCCTGCCCTCAGCCCCTCCTCAGCTAATGACTAAGTATTACTAAATATTACAAGACTGATTCTCTTTAACAGTGTATGCCCATTTCCTGCAAACACCTCGCAGGAGTGACCCTGAACTCAATGAGATGACACTCATTTAAGCAGATTAATAGGAACCACAGTGTTTATCAAATCCACTTGATCAGTACCCTTCTTGGGCGGAGGAACAGAGGTGGCGACACTAGTCTCATTTCACCGGTGAGAGGCTGAGGCCCACAGAGTGTCCCTAGAGAACACTGTTACCAGGGACTGAGAAACAAAGATTCAACTCGGGCTGAAAGTTGCCACTGTTTTTTCAAGACACCATTTAATTGTGTATTATGGCTTCAAAAACACTCCCCCATTTACCCAGTGGACATTATTTTACAAACCTACAGGAGAGAGTGTAGCCTTTTAATGTCTCCTGAGGTACCCACCCTCTCACCTTATTTAATTTCACTTTTTACCCTTACAGGATTCCCGGAGTTTAAAAGAGAAAAGTAAACAACACAGGAAGGAGCCACCTCATGAGGCTATTTCAAGGAAGCAAAATAAATCACACAGACACACAGGCCTATGAAAAGATGGAAGGGGTAGGGAGGAGAAGTGATGTAATAAACTGAATACGGCAACAGTGCAAAATACTATGTAACACCTCACTATGGCCTCCATCTACTGCTGTAGGTCTGCAAGACCTGCAGGTGCTGCTCCAGCATCCTGCCCTTCTGCAGCGCTGCACTGCAAACCTGGCTATGAGTCAGGTGTTCAGAGCAACAGTTTAGACTCCCAGCAAGCAGCACACGGCAGCTGTACCTGTGCCTGAGTGTTTCTGCACATATAAATGCATGTGGAACTCCAGTATATCTGGGGCTGAACCATCGCTCCAGTCCAACAACAGCTTCTCTGTCATGAACAATAGAAGAGAAACGGCAAAGGCATCTACACAGAGCATATATGCACACTGGTTTTTTTGGGGCTTTGCTAGCAAGACACAAAGGAGCTATATATGTGAGCTGGGGATGGTGGTGCACCCCTTTAATTGCTATTACTGTTGCACTTGGGAGGCAGAGGCAGGTGGATCTCTTTGAGTTCAAGGTCAGTCTGGTCTACATTTCACAGTCCAGGACAGCCAGAGAACATAGAGAGGCCCTGCCTCAAAATTAAAAGAAAAGGAAAGCTAAATACTATGTGTCCCAACACTAAAGTGTAAACTATTTCTTTTTACTTTATGTGTATTGGTGTTTTGCCTGCATGTGAGTCTGAGTAAGGGTGTTGAATCCCCTGAAACCGGAGTTACAGGCAACTGTGAACTGCTATGAGGGTGCTGGGAATTGAAGCGTGGTCCTCTGGAAGAGCAGCCAGTGCTTTAGCTACTGAGACACCTCTCCAGCCCTCCAGTTTCTTCCCCCTCAATCATGCAGTTCTCAAATGTAAACTTAGCAGATGACAGCGTCAATAGTTCAGACATATTTATAGGATGCACACGCTGGGTCTAAAAAGTCAACCTTGTATCTTCTTGCCAATTGTTGAAGGAGGGAGTTATGTTAGAAATTGGCGCTGACAATTAGGACCCTCTGAGCTTTTAGTTACACACCTACTGTCAATCCTTCCCCAAACCAGAAAGTAACACAAAAAGATCAGCATGCTCAGAGAACCAAAAATAGTCTAAATCCCAGTAGAAAGAGTGGAGTATTCGTTACAACTAAAAAGGGGGTACAGCACAGTCACCCCCACTCCAGGTAAGTACAGGATGGTTCAGAGGAAAGGGCAATACCAAAAGGATGGGGGTGGGCTTAAAAAGCCCACGCTGATATGAAGCCATATTTGCATAAACTCTGAGAAGTCTGCTCTGTAGCAGTAGTGCCTGTGGATTGAGTGGGCTTTTAGCTGGCATTCTATGTCCAGGGTTTGTTTCCCAATGGATTTGCGGCTCGCAATAACCAAGGAGACAATCTAAAAACGGAAACACACTGCAGATATTCGAAGGCTGTGTGCCCACCTGTTTCCATCTCGTCCATGTTGCTGAGGAAGTCCTCTGGAGTTGTGGGGACACTGTAGCACCCCAACCCCAGGCCACTGTCTGTGCTCTGCTCCCTTGAATGATAGGGTCCTCTGTAGAGGAGAAAGAAAGAAAGGAAAAAAAGTGGAGACCTTAACATGAGTAAATAAACATCACAGTTAGAACGCAGTCACAGAACTCAGGCAGTGAGAGGGAGAAAATGCTACCAGACCTTTAAATTTTGAAACATATAACTGATCTTAAGTAATTATATGCTAAATATATTAATTATATGCAAATAAAATTATATGCAAATAAAACTGGTTACTCACCATATACATGGGTGTTGATTTCCTTGCCTCAAAATAACCGTTTGAGCCCTATTCTACTTATGTGAAATATTAAAACCGAGAAAAATAGTGCTGAATAACGCTCATAGAAATACACATTAATGATAAAAGGAGTATGTATATAGCCAGTCATGGTGGTCCATGCTTACAGTCCCAACACTCAAGAGGCTGGGGGAAAGGGTTCCGGAAAAATAGCTAAGTTCCCTGGGGTGGCCACACACCACTTTCCGAGGTGTGGCTGCGCCTGGGGAGAGAACGGAGGGAAGAAATAAACCTGGTGGTGGTGGAGAGGGGCTCAAACAGCGCGTGGCATACAGCAAGCCTGGATGGCGGCTACCTTAGTTTTCTTTCTACTTTTCTAGTCTTTAAAATACAGCACAGCAGAAAATTAACACTATTAGCTGAACTTTGAAACCTTACTTAGCTTTCCCCATAAGTACCTCTGAATTTACTTGTTCTATTTGCCACAGTATGCTTTTAACCTCATCCTTCCTCCCAGGACCGTCAAGACTCTTGCAAGTGATTACCAGATCGCACTGTTTAAGTTTGAACCCCACCCTCGTATGCAAATCACTGACTGAATAAACTCCATGTCATGCGACTAGGTTTTGAAACTGAGATGTTTTCTAAAAGCTTCCTTTTTCTTTCTTCTGTCAGCTCTCCCCCCTCTCCCCATCCCTGAAAAACCCTGCCCCTTCTCCACGCAAACAAACCCCCACACACAGCCTAAACCATAGGTAAGAAAGCAAAAGTCAGTGGTCCCCAGTGTGAACTTACCCATTGAGGAATGGATCTGAGCTGTTGTTGGTGATGGACCTCATATCTGTGGTCATGGCAGGCGGGTTGACAGAGGCCATGGTCTCCTCCATGGGGAGCTGTCTGCAGAGGGCAGCTTCCTACAGAGTCGGAGGGAAAGGGTGTCAGTCAGTTGTCACGAAGGGTTGCATCGTAATACAATTCATATGAAGACTGTTCACCGAACACAAAAAGTTTTGTGCCTATTTTAGTAGGTCAAGGCCATCGGGAGGTTAGCATTCTTTCTCCCCAGACAGCCCTGGACTAGCATACTCCCGTTATCTCTCCTGTTTACATGCCAGTGTGAATGGGAGGTTTAGACCCTTAAATAAAATTACACTTAGCAGCTGTTGTTAATCACCAGATGAATAAGACAACCAGTTAGACCATTTGCAGATAGATAGATAGATAGATAGATAGATAGATAGATAGATAGATAGATAGATAGATAGAT